TGGCATCATGAATTGTAATTTCTTATCCAATAGTGCTATAGAATTGAAGCAAAATACAAATTAAGTAATATGAAATCAAAAGGTGTTAGAATTGATTAGTATTATCATATCAAGTTGATTGAAAATATACCACTCTATAGGCAAAAAATAAAAAGATGGTCAAGAATGGATTGACTACCTTATTTAAAAAAAAAAAATGGCACATATATATATATATATATATATATATGATATTAAAGTTAAAAGTTGTATAATTATTGAAACATAGAAAGGTTCTATTAGCATCTATGTGAATCTCTTGCATTAGTTTATTTTGCAATATTTATCATTCTTTTATTCTCTTGTTATAACAACTTGATAGAATTCATTTCATATAATAAATAAATAAATATTATTAGAAAAAAATGTATAATATACAAGAATATGATTATAACTCATTAAAAAATTTAAAATATTGGCTAACTTATAAGACCAAATTTGTAAACATTTAATTTTTTTATTTCATCCATGTTGTCTATTTTAGTGGTTTACTTCCATTCACAAGGTTGGATGTTCTTTTGGAATAATTCACATAATAGTTTTTTTTGTATTCTTAGGTGATAGTTCCTTAATTATGTTATTTTATAGAATGTATATTTATTGAATATATGTGTTCATACATTATGTCAAATTATAATTCTTAATTTTTTGTAACTTAGAATGTTACTTTGGAGGAGAATTTATGAAGTTGGTATAGTTTATTAATTAGCCATAAAAATAAATAAATAAATAAATGAAACATGCCTACTAAAAAATAGTTGCATATATTTTTTAATTTTTTAAATGTATTTTCTTCTTTTTATAATTAAAATTATTATATTATAGTTACATAAATTTTTTGAGTTTTTTTTAGTATTTAAAAAATATCATATTTTTGGATGTATTATGGTAAATATATGTTTTTTTGATTTTTTAATAGAAATTTTAATATATTTATTTTACTGATATATTTTATTTTTATGTTTTTTATATTATTTATATTATTCTTAGATTTTTATTTTATTATTTTTTTTCTTGATTTATATTATTGATATTGTGAAGCATATTATTTCTTATAAATAGTTTTATACTACTTTTGATATTTTTTTCTTGAAGATCTCTTTGTTCTTCTTATTTTTTTTCTTTATCAACAATTAATTTTAATTTTTTCTTTTATCAACCTTTATTAGGGCACTACACCTATGTAAATAACATTAGCAATTGGGAAGACTTAAAATGCAAAAGTAGCTTAATTTTGATAATATTAATAATAGAAGTTGCATCAAGACATATACTTTAAAGATAGAAATTTCTTAGTTACAAATATATTTTTTAAAACTTAAAAATATTTTATTTTGCTAAAATAAAATAATTTAGTTTTACGATTTATTGATTTTGTCTTAATTTTGCTTATTATTCTTAAAGATTCTATTTTTATATATTTTATCAACTTACTTTTGAGATAATTTGGAAAAAAATACTTTATTATATGCTTCAATTTTTATTTTAGACAAAGGTATTTATAGCTATTTTATAAAATATATATATATATATATATATAAATTAATATTTTAAAATGTATTATTATGATTAATTAATGACTAAAAAGTTTGTAATGCAATGAATCAATTCTATTTAATTATTTTATAGATGTTATTTTTAAAATGTGGTAATTAAATTATATTTATTATTATAATTTTATTTTATTTTATTTTATTTTATAAAATTATAAATATAGATTTAGGAAGTTGCTAAAGCTACACCTCCATATTATTAAAGCTACACCCCAAGTGAGTACATTCCCTCTCTTCTATCAACTCTCACTCTCAAAGCACTCTCTCCCACCACTATCTTCTCTTATCACTCACCCCTCAATGCTGCTCTCTTCTTAAGTCTACTCTAGCTCTTCCTTGTTGATCTTTACTCATGTCTAATTATGCTCTCTTATGTTATTCTCTACTTCTGTATATACTTCCAATGCTTCCTCTTCCCAAATATGAGTTGGTATTCAAACTGACCTTCTCCAAAATCATTCAAAAAGGAATTATAAAGTGTAATCCCAAAAGGAATTCCAATGCAAGCAATAACAATACATTTTCAGGGTGTAGCTTTAATAGTGTGGAGGTATAGCTTTAAGAATATGGAAGTGTGGTTTTAGCAATTTCCTAGATTTATTGTCTAAGAACTTGAATCCAATTAGAATTTTTGTAGAATTCATGTCTTTTATATGCACAAATTCAATGTAAGCATATTTAGTTTCATGTTATATTTTATATTGTATTGTCTTTTTTAATTAGTTTTTGATTTTTTTAAAAAATCCCTATTATTTTTTAATTTCTGATGCTATGTATAATTGTAGACAATATTTACATTTTATAGACAAGAAGTTGAAATCCATTTAGATTTTTTAAAATCTAATAATTATATTAATAGATCATGGAGAGAGTTTTTATTCTTTTCTTGATCTTACTACCAAACTTATTTTAGATCTAGATTTTTTACATTCTTTATTTTATCTCTTGATAATTTTTATAGTATTATGACTTTAAGATTTTGAAGTATTTAAGAAGTCGTTATAACTAAAAATCTACTCTAAAAGATCACAATTTAAAATCCTTATCGAGATTCCTTGGTTGATGAAAAAACCTCACACTTAGATGCCTTGGCCTTTGCATATAGTATAAAATAAGAAGAGGTTGTGAAATAAACCAAATCATTTTTTTTATTACAAGTCTATTTATATCAACTCCTATCTTAATTCTAAAAATCATAAGAAGCATAAAAAGATTTTAAAAATTAATTTTTAATGGCTGTATGTAGAAATTTTGATACACCTAATAATATTGCTCATGATGAGAAAGTAAAAAAAATCATTTTTTCTTATCTTTTCCTTTCATAACCTTAAGACTAATATCTCCAAATATAAATCCACTTCCATGAGGCTTCTCAATTTTGATCAATCCAAGAATTTGAAAATTGTAGCCTCTCACTTCATCTTCTAAACATAAATACCCTCATAATAATACTAATAATAAATAATCCATGTGAAAAATTGAACTTAAATTTATATTTAGGTTGTTGTAAAAGGACAAATTACAGAACCAATCTTACACGACACATATTACAACCATCAACTTCAACTCTATAATCAAATACCATTTCAAAGATAATTATTCAGAAGACTTTTTTTAATATGAAGTGTCTTCACTTAAACTCACCTGTACACTTTGTATTTATATAGATGAACATCGCCTAAAAATATCCACCCACCCTCTTCAGCTTCCAATCGAAGGGTAGTTTCTCTATCTAGATGGAGTAAAACATTATGGTTATTAATAGTAAAAATGTTCCTGTATAAATTCCCAAGTACTGCATCACTTGTGAGACCCAGCCTTAGAGGGCAGGGATCTGACAAGGGCATTATGGATGCCCTTACCCTTCATACCTGCATCTACTGAACCTCTAAATCAGGTAATATGACAGGCTAGAGTAGAGAGACAGAGAGAGCAGATATCCTGACTCTTAATCCCGAGAGACATGAGATTTTCTCCACCTCTCAAATTCCAAGGTACAATGTGTGTTGTGACGCTGTGGAAATGAGTGCTGCGAAGCACCCACGACGCACCCAGATCTCACAGAATCAATATGACAAGTGGATCCTGCTAAACGCCAACTTGAGCAACCAGAATGGTCCCCTAACTCCCATCGCAACGCTAATACGACAGCTTGCCCGTTTTGTCTGAATCGAGCTTCAACTACACCAGAACTCTTATGCTCCGAATGAGTGGACGAATGGCAACTGATTCTAACTAGTCACAGCCCGGGTGACCGCTTAAGAGACGAGACGTGGACCATAACAATAGCTCCCCACTCGACAGGTTTCCTGATCTGCCAAGCCAATCCAAAGCACCACGCGTCCAGGAAAATTCCGTGAACAGGGGGTACGGAGGGGATGGACGGAGTGATCCAGTGCCAGCGGCATTCCTATTTCAAGCCACAAGGGATGACTGCGACGAGATTCCAGTGGCGTCTGTAAAATATTTACTTTCTTACAGTAACTGCACAGTCGGTTACTTCGGAATGAACTTTGTTGTCAGTAGGTGGTGTGCATGCAGCCTGAAGAAATCTACAAAAAATCATGCGACAGTCCGTGTGCACACATTCCATGTTCATCCTCAGCCAAGGTTCACGGGAATCGGAATATTGTTACATGATCCGTTACAGTTTGAACTTTGCGATGAGCTTGATAACTGAATCCTGGTGCCGTAAAAGAGATTCTCCTCAGGAAAAGATTATTGCACATGCTTCACCATAGCTTTACAGTGGCACAAAGCTATACGTGGGTCACACAGCACTTTGCCAGGACACGATTCATTGGCAGAGTGCTACCAGACATTTAACATATTTTAATCCCTGCTACTTTCTAGGATGATTTTATCGTTCTTCAACTGAAAACGCCACAGGCATGGTACGACAGCTTGTAAGGTGTCTTTATGACATAATCGAAAATACAAAGTCAGCATGTGACATGAGACAACAATTTGTGTATCGATCGAGAGATTCTGTAGTCCATTTCCGTGAAAGTGATGAAAACGCTGACAAACGGCTTTGAGCCTTTTCTTCTGCGAACTGCGAGGGATATCAGTAGACAAGTCAGCTAGAGCAATATCTGACACACTTGCACATTCCCACTACACGATAAGCTAGGTCATCAGAAAAGACTACCCGTAGCAACTGTGGCAGAATAAGCGCGATCCCTTATGAGCAACGGAATGAAGTTTCAATACATCAATGAATTAGCACATCTGTGATAACATTCACATACCATTATAACCACTGTTGAACAATTCACAAATCTGTTACTACTCCTGCAAATGACACCGAATACACAGATATCAGACGCTACAACACCGAGAGTAAATCAAACAAAAAAAATCTTTCCAGATCGATGCTGTACATCTCAAGAGAAAGCTGACAGTAAATTATGCAAAAAAGAAAAATGCTTTGAAAGACGTCGAAGTGAAACTCGACATCAGTGTTACAGAAAGACTTGTCAACATGCAATTGTCCAAAATGCCCTTGTTTACAACATAATGATGTACAATGTATCAGCGATGCTAAATCGAGAACTAATACTTCCTCTTTCATAAACGCACATCCAGTTCCACCACTGACTCCAGCTACTCATACTTCCTACTTACTGCAAGACTGCAGCAAATGCCAATCCATCACTAAAGACAGCATGCACTTTGCCTTCCAGTAAACCTAACGAAGGATGAACTAAACCTATATTGTTGTAATGTTGAGAGTCGAGCGGATGACCTAGCAACATAACACAAGTCCTTCTGCCTATCCAAAAAGGCCCACAAATGCCCGACTTCCTTTTTCCGAATCTTGGGAGGCTTATACGAGCGCCCCACGTTAAAAGGTGATCCTAAAAAAATGTTGAATGCAGGGTCCGGCTTCGTGAGCAGAAATCAGCTTCAAAAGTAGTTGAATCCATCTGATGCTTCCAAAAATAGCGACAATCCCCCTCGCCCATGAGATACTACCGAACTTTCGAAACCATTAGACCCATAGTAAGCTTTACTGCAACCAAAAAGACATCAAGTTCAGAGCACAATACCACCATCAACAGCAACCAAAAACAAATGCTCATACCAATAACTCTTGGAGCAACTCTCAAAGACGTCACACAACCTGCCCAATCCAGATTCAAGACCTGCACACTGTTCATGCATTCAGACCCATGCGACCTCGCATCAAACTCCAAATCTCCTCCAACTCCCACTCTCCCAACACCACACTCATCCTCCATCTCCCGACCTCCCAACCTCACTTCCCCAGCGCTCCCACTCCCGCTGCTCACCATCACTGACACTGCGCTCGCGCTCGTCTCCTTCTTCAGCTTTATCCCCTTTATCGACATCTTCTTCGAACTCCGCTTCTTGCTGTACGCTCCTCTCACCAGAGCCAGAGGCGTCACCGCCGCCCCTCGCCCCAGCGTCGTCGCCTCCTGGAACGTGTGGAACACCACCGCGCTCCCGCTCGCCAGCTCCTGCCGGCTGCTCCCGTTGCACACGTACCCGCGAGGGCACGCCGACGCACCCCACGACTCCGACTCCGACCCCGCCTGCCCCCTCGCCAGCCCGCTCACGTCCACGCTCATCGCGAACGCCGCGGGCTTGAACACTCCCACCACCCTCTCCACCAGCGCCCCAAGCTCCACCTGTCCTCCCCTGTACCCCATCGCCTCGAAGCTCGCGTAGCTGAACCCCTCCTCCGGCGTCACGTGGATCGTCGAGTGCGCCGCTCCCTCGATCCCGTTCATCGAGTACCCGCACGGCTCGAACGCGAAGTCGCAGATCCGCGACTCCGGCAGCAGGCTCTGGATGTTCGCGCCTGCCGTCATCTCCTCCCCGCTCTCCCGCCCCGCTCCCTTCCAGAACTGCCCCGCCGACCGCCTGCCCAGCTTCGTCATGCACATCTCCACCGTATACACGCACTCCTCCTCCTCCTCCTCCTTCCCCGCGCCCCCACTCGCGTCTGCATTCTGCTCGCACGCCGTGTAGATGTGCCAATTCGGGAACTTGCCCCGGTTCCCCATCACGTACGCTCTGCCACCGCTCCCAATCCCCCCGAAGTACTTCTCCAGGTATCCCACCTCCTCCGAGAAGCTCCCGTGCGGATACGGCTGCACCGCCGGAAACATGAACGTCCCGCGCGTGTACTTCACTCGCCTCACCTTCATCGCCAGCCGCGCCACCACCTCCAGCAGCACCGGCACGATGCACAGCAGCTTCGTGGTGCCGCACGTCTTGATGATGATGCGCTGCGGATACACGAACAGGCTCGATTCCGACAGCACGTACGAGTCCACCTCGGCATTGCTCAGCTGCGCCACGATCGTACACTCCGCCACACACAGCATGCTATCCAATTCCGACCTCGTCAAGTCTCTCAGCCCGCGCCCATTGGGGTCCCTGAACACAGGTGCGGGCTGGAACTCGATCTCCAGGCGCTTCTCGAACCCTTCGAACCCCGGGCTGGTCCCCAAGGCGCCACATACCGGCGCCACCTCCGACACACACGCCGTGGCTCCCATATTTGATAGCCGGTTTTGTACACGAGTTTAGTTCTACAATATCTCCCTGCAGAGTGTATCTTCAGCGCAGGGAGGACAGTCTACTCGAGCGGGAACGGGCCAAAGCTGGTCTGTATTTTAGTCAGCGTCGCTCAGACAATTTCACAATACAAATAACCTATTGAAGACGGCGTAATTTTGCAGTAGGTAATATCAGGAAGGCTTCCGCATACACTGCACATTGCGAGGTACAGAGGGGTCCAAATTTAGGTCCACAAAATCTCGATTTGCAAGCTGAAAAGAGTATCGCCGCAATAGGAAATTGAAGCCTTCAGATAGCCCGCATCGACAGAGTGACGAGCATCTGCAATCGTATGCAGTGGTTTAGGAAATCTTACGTTGGAGTACACAGCACTACGGTACTTCTTGCTACCACCGTGGGGGCGCACGTCTTCAATCACGTAGCCGAGAGGACTCTCGTATTGAACAAAATTGACGCAGGACTTTTTACCAGTGCTGGCTCCCATTGTCACATGCAGAGACTCTGCAACAATCACAGGCGATCATGAACCTGGTTCAGTGAAGCTCAAACACAAGCTCAATCCAATATTCACACAAAACCCAAGCCAAGTGTTCACGCGACAAGCAGCAAAAAATAAAAAATGAATATAAAAATAAAACGCAATCCTCGTCGTCGCTCACAATCAGCTAATGCGCCAAGAAGCAACAACCCAGGCACATCATATACTCTCGGTTACACCTCCCAATACTTACACAGACTTCGTCGTGGTGACTGATTGATTACACCTGCGATGAAAGCACGCCAGGATGCACCCCACCCCACTCCTTTCCCCACAACTCACACGGTGTGGTGTTCCTTGGCGAGGATAGACAACGTCGCACCCAGCGAGCAATCAGCCACCCGACATTAACACGACCCAGGGTAGGGAGCAGTCCTGAGCTAACTGTAAAACAGCGATACCTGGTACAATTTAAACGACACCCCGATTCCTTGATCAACACTACAACCCACAAGTGCTGCCAGAGGCAGCAAATCACTTAGGCTTGCGTGGACTGAGGAGGCACTAGCGATGGAAGAAGGAACTGGAGACGAGACTGGGAGAGAGCCCTTGTGGGCACATGAGAAAGAGATTGCAAACGCGAAGGGAGGAAACGAGGATACACACACTCTCTCTCACACACTCACACTCACAGAAGTGGGGAGGAGGGCAGGGAGGGAGAGCGACAGTGATACATTCACAGCTTGAGGATTTTGAAGGTTACAGGCGAAGAGGTTATATAGCCATTGCTTTCCTTCACGAGGGAGTGAGAGCTTGAACCCTACAAGCGCATGAGGTTGCCGTAGCTGTCGGTCCTACCTCACCACCTAGCTGCGATTCCTCCTCTCGGGCCATCTAACCAACCATTACCCGCTAGTGGCGAAAGGAAGGGGGGAATCTTCATGGCCCTGAATGTGGTCCTGGCACTGAAACCAGGGACCATTTCCCACACCCGCTCCTCCATTCTCTCATCCCTTGTGCGTATTACTCCATCTCTAGGGCCTGTGTTTCTCATGCAAGCCACCCCATTGAATGGCTGGTACTGCCAAAGTTACCGCTCCAAAAGAATCAAAACAAAAGAGCCCTGTAACTTGCCTTTTTCACCACAATCTTCTCCCAAGGTGAGACTTTGCTGTAAGGGTTATAGTGGATGGGCTGTGACTGAGACCTTGATGTTTTTTTTTTATTTGTTTATTTTTATTTTATTATTCCATCTTTGATGTATTCTATCCTTTGATGCTAAGCTTTTAGCAAATGATTAGAAACTGAAATTCTAACTGGTGAGGTATACCTGCTGTTCATCCGTGAGAGGGCATCCAATCCAGATACCTCCAGAATAATGACAAATCTATGTATCTGATGCTGCCATTTTTTTTTTCTTTTCTTTTTTTAGTTGTATAAATACTGGGGTTATGAGATGAAAAGAGGTCCAGGTACATAGAACATGCCTCTGTGGCCTGTTGCTGTGGTTTTGATGGAAGTGGTGACATTGGCGATATGGAGTTTAGGGTTTTGGGGAGATAGATGCCAAGAGCCCCTGAAGCCCCAGTGAGTATAAAAGATTTTGAAGCCCCTCTTAGCTAAAACAACAGGCCCATTAATGTACTAAGCCAATTGCCACAGTTTTACAATTTGCCAAAAAAGCTTTGGAAGAGCCGGCAAAAGTGCCTTACGGGGATTGATTAAAATGCGCGTCGTGAAAGGAGGGTGTCTTTTACTTCATGATTGCCATGAGGGGCTTTTTGTGCTTCCAATTCTATTAAAGACAAAAAAACAGACTCATCAAACCATCAAGCGTCTGAAGACAGCTCTTTAATGCAGTTAACCCTTGGGATTTGTTATTAAGCAATGACTGGTGCATTTAAAGCTATGGTCCTTTTCTGTTGCAGCCAGTATTGACCCAATTTATGTTGGCTTCAGATTCGCTGAGTTCTTCACAGTTAAAAGTCTCCTATATAATATGCGGTTCATGCGAGGAAAAAAACAGAAAAAAGTAGTGAGGATCTCAACTATAGGGACAGGAAAATGTTTCTATGTGCTGCTCTTTACTTTTTCGGTGACGCATCTTAAAACACTTGCTATTCCGAATGGATAAAATATTGTGTATTTCGCCAACACATGTTTGGATTCACGTAGACGAAGTGACAACTTTTATTGTTTTTTAATTAAAAATATCCGAATCCACACTGGGGTAAAGTAAGAAGCAGCTATCATTTTTTTCTTTTTTTTTTTCCTCTTATTCTATGATCATTAGTTTTAATTTTTTGAAGCTTCTATACCAAGTTTCACTCTTCAGAAAACTGACATGTGCTCAGCCTAATCTCTAGCTTGTCCGGAATCATAATAGACAACACTTTGGTGATAATTAGGCCAATCATGGAGAGTCTAAACCTGTTCTTCCAAAATAAATATAAAAGCCATAATTTTTCTTCTATAAACTGCCTGCAGTACTCCAACCACTTTCTAAAAATAATACAAAAAACATGTCGCAAAAGTTATGGAAGAAAACACATGTCAAGGAATGAAAGAATGGTAAATGATAAACAAGTAATGAATAAACAAACTAGTATATATGTAGGTCAAGGTGTGTTTTTTTGTTTATTGTTTTTTGTTTTAGCAATTATATATATATATATATATATATAGATTATGTTTACAAGAAAAGTCCCTAAAACACTGTACCCATATACACACAAGCTGATTTTCCACAAGGAAATGATTTACTAGCAGCAAAAATTTACACGAATGTCATGTGAATAGTGTAAGTGAAATATTAACTTAATTTCAAACAAGAAACTGTCTGGAGCACTCACTGACTGTTTAGGCACACAACAAACGCCGCTTTTTCTGCGGGTAAGTGATAAGTACTAATGAAAGCATTAATTAAGAAAAAAGCTCCTGATTAGAACAATAGAAGGGATGAGAGGGTAGGAGAAAGAGAGAGGATGAAGGGAGCTTTAAGTGGGTTGGAATTGAAGGCATTGTGAAGTCTCGATGGTTGATTATAAGTCTTTTCTTTCCCTTTCTTCTTATTAATTAATTAAATTATTTATTTATTCCATTGCTGCTGCTTCTTATACTCCTGGATTCATGAGATTCCTTCCTTCGTCTCACCACAAACTCAATCACCCACCATTCTCCTTTCCTGCCTCTCTTGTGCATTCAGATCCATTCATTTGGTTCCAAGTCAACATTGCCCCCAGTTCACCCCCACCCACCCTGTTTTCCTCTTCGTCATTCCATCTTTGGGGGTTTTTTATTTTTATTATTATTACAAGCTCCCGGACTTGGGAACTTGAGAGCGAGGGTATCTTATTTGTTGGGTCATGGGGCATGTATTATTACCAAACCAGAACTGTGAGAACAACCCATTTTTCCAAAAACTATTTAAACTTGTGGGTGGAGATTCCACCTGAGCATGGACTCCAGCCTTGAAGCTTTTGTGTGGGAGTGGTGGTTTGCAGTGATATTCAAGACAAAAAGAAATGTGCATGGGACTGGGCATTTCTTTGCAATATATATATATATATATATATATATTGCTTCTACCAGCATGTGACTCTCTGATGTTGTTCAAAAGTTGTTAAGACTCTATTCTGTTTCGATCTCTTTTTCTTCCTTGTCTTTTGCAACAGCAGGTGTTCGTGCTAGAATTAAACAATGATTAGCAGAAATAACCGGTGATTATTTGAGCAGTTTGAAATGTGGGCTAAGTTAGATTCTTGTGTAACATGTGTATTCCAAGACAAACAAATCAAATTAGAAAACACTATCTTTTTAATGTGGCAAACTTACGTATTTAATTATGTGAGATAGAAGCAGAGAAAAAATATTTAAAAAAAGGTTGTAACAATCTCAAAGAAATTTCCCAATGATGAAAATAGTGACATAAAATAATAAATTATTGATAAATGAATATAAAAGATTTATAGCTGATTTTATGAATGATTATAGATCAACTTGTGCGCTTTTGCATGAACTTTATTACACAGCTTTTGCAGGAATAGAATATATGTTTTACCTTTATTTACCAAATTCTTGTAGGCATTCCTCTTGTGATAGTACACATGAAATTGAAATTCTATGTATATAAATACATATTAAATGAACGTCTTAAAATTTTTATCAATTTTTTTCTTAATAACCTTGGTAAAATAACATCAATATTATAATAGTGAACAATAATTTAAAATATCAAGGTATTAAACTAATCCATACATTTTCTTGTTCCAAAAAAAAAAAAAACAAAACAAAAAAACAAAAAGAAAAAACAAAAACCAATCAATTTTTATAAATATTTGATTTTACTTAATGCAATGAAACTACTATGATTTCCTGTTGTTAGCTTTTAAATCCAAAACATGTTCACAGAAAAATTAGACATAATATTATCAGATTAAAAATAATAAATAGACAGTGTTTTTGATGCTGGTAGTGCATTTTCTCAACTTTAATTACTTAACAATCTCAAATTCAAGTTAATATTTTTTTCGTTACATGAATTTTTCACCTCATTCTTAGGTTACTTCTTACAACTAATTTTTTAAAGAGATTCTCTTAGCATCAAACTGCTTTTGTAACTCAGATATTTTATTTCATTGGTTGTCACCAAACCTGATTATCTTATCTGTGTATAAGTGGAATATTCTCTTCAACTCTATCTCTTTTTATTTTTTTATTTTTCGTATATATTTATATGTGTTTAAATTATAAAATTATAAGTATTTTTAAGTTGTAAATATTACTAGTTAAATGAATTTGTATAAAATACACAATCCTTCTGACTCTGCAATTAAATTTCAATGATGAATTTCATTTCATGCAATTATCAACTATGTCAATAATGTCATTGTCATATCCAATCTTACACCTCATATTAACAAGTCCATTTGGGATCAATTATTAGCTATTCGACTTGATTGGGGCTTTACAATCTGCTAAAATATGAGTCTTGTCTTCAGATGGTAAAACATACAACTTCTACTTTAAATTTGGTATTCATCAAGTAGCACATTCCCTAATGTCATCACTAATTCAATTTAAATGCATTATTTATTTATTCAGTCATTTTTAATTAATACGTTACAGACTATTAAAAACCTGATATACTAGAAACCCTTGATTTCATTCCCAATTACTTTCCATGGTAAAAGTGTTGGCTTACCATGCATGAATAGAAAGCAATCATAAAAAGTAAAATATGATATAATGTTTCTACCAAAGTTTGAATTTGAGATGACATGCTACAATGGAGAACCATTGCACTTGAACCGGCTTCTTATCTTAAAGAATTGTTTCTCAATGACGTTTTTTACTCAACAATTATTTTCAAATGATAAGTCATGATCAAGCATACAATTAGTGAAAAAAACTTATTTTGTAAAAAATTCCACAAAAGTCTCATCTAAAAATATATAAAAAAAATGAAAAAATAATACATGTATAAGTATAACCTTATTAACGTTTTTTATAAATAGAATATGATCATGCAATTGAAACTTTGTAGTTTTCTCAACAAAATGTTTTTTTTTTTTGAGAATTCAAATATAGTTTGTGTGAAATTAGTTTATGGTCCTTAGGATGAAATAGCTAATCATATGTATATATATATATATATATATATATATATGTGTGTGTGTGTGTGTGTGTGTGTGTGTGTGTATACACAAAAATAAACACTATCCTTCACATTGACTCGTTCAAGATGGTCTTGAATTTGGACACAAGTAATTTAACATATTTCACTTTCATCCA